TGATTTTGATGGAAGAAATGGCAAAAATTATTTTACATTAAATAAAAAATCTGGAAAATGTACTATTTTACTTCGTCTTGATTTTTAAAGAAATAAATCGGAAAAACTGGTTATAAATGTTATTTTTTTATTTACATTTAATTTTAATTACTACGCGTTTCGACCGCAGAAAGATAATCCTCAAGTCAAAATAAAAATAAAAAAATTGAAACTTGAAATAAAAATTAAATAAAAATAAAACAGTTTTAATTCTCATAATGCTAGTTAAACTTTTTGCAGTTTGTTTCTTTAATTCGGTTTATTCGTTAATTTTTTTTTTCAAAATTTTGGTTTCCGAAATGCAGAATGTGGAGTAATCAATAATTTAATTTAATTCGCTAGTCCCGATCGCCTCGGGTCCGCTGTGTGACAACATACAGGGTGACCCAGGAGTGCGTGCAAGCTCCATAACATTTTTTCTATGCAAGTTATCAAAATGATTTTTTTTAGATTATAGACCCAACAATGAGGCACAATATAAAAATATTTTTGTTCATATACAGGATGTCCCAAAAATGGGACATACAACTAAGTTCTGTTTTTTTTTAATGAAAACCCCAAATTTTTGTTACATTTTTGGATTCGCCAGTAAATTGTCAATACAACGCACCTAGGTTTCTTAGACTTATCTGCAATAGTTTTCGACTTATGAAAATTTATGTGTCAAAATTGTGTCGTGCGTAGACCCACAAAAAAATTCATAACCTCAAAACTATTCAAGATAACTTAACCAATTTTTTTCTAGTCCATTCCTTAAGTTTTAGCGCATTTTCTGAGATAAAAGCAAACTTGGAGTCCATGTTCCATAGCCCACTTGAATATGACAAAATACAAATGGCAATAACTCGATTTTTTAAATACAACACTCAATATTTTATTGTATCATTGCATGGCATTTTTATGAGCTGAGATTTTTGCAAAATAAAGAATGTTGATGTGTTTTCAGGACGCTGGGACCCTCCTGGAGCCCCGTGCTGCCGCCGCCGTGGGCCAATCCGGCCTCATGTCCCTCTACGACGCCATGTTCGCCCAATACGGCGTCAAAATCGCCCAAGTATTAGTAACAAAACCGGACTTTTACAACGAGGAGACCCGCCGAAACCTCTTCAGCACCCTCTCCGAGTTGATCAGCTTGAACATCGTCCCCATAATCAACACCAACGACGCAGTTTCGCCGCCTCCACAAGTCGACGAGCCCATCGGCGGGAAAGCAGGGAAAAAGGGGATCAGCATCAAGGACAACGACAGTTTGGCGGCGATGCTCGCCGCCGAAATCCAATCCGACCTCCTCATCCTCATGTCGGATGTGGATGGAATCTACAACAAGCCTCCTTGGGAGCAGGGCGCGAGATTCCTCCACACTTTCACCTCGGATCTGAGACATACCATCGAGTATGGGCAAAAGTCGAAGGTGGGGACGGGAGGAATGGACTCCAAGGTGAATGCCGCCACGTGGGCTCTGGATCGAGGGGTCTCGGTGGTTATTTGCAACGGGATGCAGGAAAAAGCCATCAAGACGATACTCTCGGGGAGGAAAGTCGGGACTTTCTTCACCGATTCGAGTGTGGGAGGGGCGGTACCCACAGAAATCGTCGCCGAAAATGGTAAATTAAAAAAAAAAAATTTGTTACCAAAGAAAAAACATAAAATTACGTTTCAATAGGAGTGTTTTACCTATTTTCAAAGAAAACTAACAAGAATCTAAAGAAATTTTGTTGAATTAGAGCCAAACTTTCTAAAAACAGAATAACGTTTTGTTTAATTTGGATTATTTTATGATTAACTTTAATGTTTACAAGGCTTGGATAAAAAAATCATTTTAGCACAAAGTAACTTGTTGTGACTCTAATGATGTGATTTCTGTTTGATAAAAAAATTAAAGCTGTTTTTTAAACCTAATTTTTGACATTTTTTTGACATTAATTAGRGAGATACTAAATTCTCGTAAAAAATTTAATCTTTAAAAATTTTGTTGAATAAATTCAAGAAACTGTAAAATTAAGCTCTAAAAGTGCTGTTTTGTTGGGTTTTTTCGATTTAGATAAATTTTTAGCGATTTATTCTATACCAGTTTCGTTGAATTAATGCTAAATATTTTAAAAACAAGATTTAACAACAAAAAATGTGCTCCAATATCCTATCGAGTGATTTGAACAAAATCTGGAAGTTCAAACTCGGATCAAGTAATTTTTAACCGCTTTTTTTTTATTTAAAAAATTTGTTTAGTATAAAATAAATGAAATATTGTTACTTTGACTCAAATGTGTAACTTAGAGTAGTTTTTTTAAAAGTCGAAGGTTTAAATCTCGATCAAATCTCTTTTTTTGTCAAAATTTGAGAGATAACTTTAGTAAAAATAATGTCACCAGGACTTGTGTTATTTTTGTGTTTTGCACTATTTTTAACCATAATCGATCTTGTTTTCAATACAGTGATTATAAAAAACCATTTATTTTTATAAATTTTTGTTCAGTCAATGCAAAAATCGTAAAATTAGACTTCAAAAGTAGTACTATTTTACACATTTTCAAAGAAGACTAAAAAAGTCAGCTTTATTTTTAAAAAAATTGTTGAAAGTTTTGCTCTAACTTTTTTTAAATCGAATTTGAATATATTTTGTCTTATTTCTTTGTTTAATTTGAATTATTTTATAATTACCTTCAATTTCTATGCAAAAAATTATAAACTTTTCTTAATTTTTTAAAGTAAATCTTTTATTTTTTAAGATATTGCATAAAATTGCAAAATTAGCACAAAAGAAATATTTTGTTTAGTTATTGAATAACATTGCTTAATGAAAAATATTGAATTAGTGAAAAAAACGAAATTAAATGTGCTGTTTTGTCTAATTTGCTCAAGTTTGAATTTCAATTTTTAAGAAATTGTTTTATTTTTGAAAAACATTTTTTAAGCATTTTTATAATCAAGCCTAAAACAAACAATTTTTTATATCATTTTATTTGGTCTCTTTTTTAGGAAATCTTGTAGAATTAATGCAAGAGACACCGAATTAAGCTCCAATTGTATAATTTTTTTCTTGCTTTCTTAATTTTTTACTGCAAACTGAAACTGAGAGATAAATTTAGTAAAAACAAAGTCAGTGAAGCTTGTTTATAATTTTTTGGAGTGCTTTTTAACTTAAAATCGATCTTATTTTAAGAAATATTGTTTTGAGATATTTTGTAAAATCAGATTAAACAATTCATTAAAATTTTTGTCAAAATTCGAGAGATAATTGAGGGGCTTATCATTTTTAACCATAATTAATTTTGTTTTGAATACAGAGATTAAAAATTTTTTTTACAAAATTTTGTTCAGTCAATTCAAAAATTGTGAAATTAGTCTTTAAAAGTGGTACTGTTTTACCCATTTTCAAAAAAGAATAACAAAAATTAAGCTTTCTTTAAAAAGAAATTATTGAATTAGAGCAAAACTTTTTAAAACAGAATTTTAATATACTTTATTGTCTCAATTCTTTGTTTAATTTGGATTATTTTATTACTGCCTTCAATTTTATGCAAAAAATAATAAAACGTTGCCTAATTTTTTAAAGTAAATTTTTCTTGTATTGAGAGACATTGCATAAAGTTACAAAATTAGAACGAAAAGAAATGTTTCGAGTTGTTTCCTTCATTTCGTTTAGTTGAATCTTTTTTTAATAAAAACATTGCTTAGTGAGAAATCTAATTAGTAGAAAAAACGCTTTTAAATGTGTTGTTTTTTCTATTTAAAGTTTAAATTACAATTTTTAAGAAATTAATTTATTTTTGAAACCTTTTCTTCAAGTAATTTCACAATCACAAAGCCTGGAATATATCGTTTTAATTTGAGCTATTTTTATTATTTTACGAAATTTTGTAAAATCAATGTATAGGACAGCAATTTGGGATCTAAATGTATAATTTTTTTCTTGATTTCTTAATTTTTTTACTGGAAATTAAAACTGAGAGATAAATCTAGTAAAAATAAAATCAGTGAAGCTTGTTTTTAATTTTTTGGATTGTTTTTTTAACAAAAATCGATATTATTTTAAGAAATATT